GCGCGTCCACGCCCGCCAGCGCCGCGCTCGCCGCCCCGGTCAGCAGGTTCGCCGCCGCCAGGAGCCCGATCAGCAGCTTGATGGGGGACACGCCCAGCGGGGCTCGGAACACGGCGCAGGCCACCAGGGCGTTACAGGTGAGGGCCAGGACCGCGATGGTCCACACGCCAATTCTGATCAGCCAGCTCCCCAGCAGGTATTCGCAGAGTTTGAAGGGGCCTAGAGGTCCAAGCAAGAAAAAAGACCTGGTATCAAATGACGGCTTAGGCTTTTGCCAAGTTACCTCTTTGTTTCTCTTACGGGGACACCGAGAGAGAGTGGCCCGTAATAGCCACAGCAACACTGTTTCCCTGTGGCGCGCTCCATGCGCTGTCTGCAGCCGCGGTCACGGCCGCCCCTGCGCCCTGCTGCGGTCGGCACACCAGGCGCTCGCGCCTCCAAGCTCTCCACAGAGACATGCGGCGGGGCGACTCAGACCACGTCGTTAGGGCCCCTGAACACAGCGGCGCTGGGCCCAGGCAAACAGCCAGGTCTCCTGGGCTTTTCATTATGGTTTTTTTTTTTTTTTTAATTTTTTTATTCTGTAAGCAGAGAAGGAGAATCCTACGGAAATACTCCCTAACAATAACATTAGAAGAGGAAGTATGGGTAGTCTGAAGGCATGTTTCTTGAAAATCTTGTTTTAGGTTTAGAATGGCATTTTATGTTTGAGAGCAAGGGACATTCTAATTGTTGAAAAGAAAACGTTAACCTCCCCAGCTGTCTTTGTTTTCCAACTGGCCCACCCTGTTTCTGGGAATGGGACAATTTATGAAGTCCACGTATACAGATACTTTTTACTTATATATATAAACTGTTATTTGTTTTAACCAAATAGCTATTTAGGGAAGACTTAAAAGAAATCACTTTCAAAAAATCAGTGATTACAGGAAGCAAGACTGTTGCATACTAGTTCAGGCTAAATTGCTAATATCGTTTGTAAAAGTTACATATGCTTCTAGCTACAGTTTCCATTAACCTGAATCAAAAGTCTGCCCCCAAAATCTTATTTGTGAATGGAGACCAACTCCAATCCCATGGGGAGGGATATGGAGGAGCCACAAAGGTGGCCCAGATTTTGCTTTGAAGTGTAGCTGAGCCAATGGTGGGAATTGCCGCCGAGGCAGTTCTGGTGTCTTTCTCACCTGGGGAAGGCGAGCATTGCACCGAATGAAGGGCTTTCAGGTCTTCCTCAAAGTCAAGCAGGAAATCTTCAAGATCACGCTCATCTGTAGGAATGAGAAGTCCTGGAATGATTAGTTCTGTCTCTCTTTTCAGGGGACCAAATACCAGGGAGGAGGTTCCTGGATTACCCTTGAGCATGAAGTGTCACGAAGGAAATGGAAGGTCGGACATCCTGCCCTTTTCTGGGCTCTGGCTTTCTTGCAAACTACTATAAAGTTGCCTTTGGATGTTCTACTCAAGCCACGATATGATATAGTATTCCAGGAAAACTAAGAGGAAAGGAAAATAACCTTGGACTCCTGGTCATAACATTCAAGCTCTCTCATTCTGTTCCTGTTCCCTGGAGCTCATGATGGCCCCAAATTGCGATGACCTAAATTAGAGAGAGTCTGTGGGCCTCTCCAGTGGAAGAACCATTTTAGCCAATTTTCTAACACTTACATAGATAGCTCCAGTGCAAATGTTCGGGGCTGTGTTCTCTGATAGTGCTTGGGTTAGTAAAGAGAAGTTTTGTGATCTAACACACTTTCCCATAGATGCTGATTTAATTGATCTGCTGCGGGGCTTAGGCATGCGTATTCTTTTAAAGCTACCATGTGATTCTAGGCCCAGGGTTGAGAATCACTGTCCTTGAAAATAAACTCCATGAAGAACCTTGTGTCTCTAGTTCACTGTGTACCTCTAGGCCCAGAACAGTGCCTGGCACATAGTAGGCACTCTAATTGTTCTACCTTAGGTTTTAAGAGCATAAACTAAAGCAAGAACAAGTGCAAGGCACATGCTGTGGCCTAAAACAAAAAAGCAGAGGGTCAAAATGTCAGCTCCTCAAACTGATGTGTGTGCAGGAAGAAATGTGAACGTTATGTGCAGACAGACTGAATCATACTTGCTTGGGAATCAACAAATCATTCAGGTCCAAAGGAAGAAAAGCCAGCCTGTTTAGACTCTGTGCAAACATGCAAAGTTGGCTGGGGAAGGAAAATCGGGGCTGCCCAGAGCGCCTCCTCATTACCACAGGTGTGGTTTGAGGTGCATTGTTGTCTACATAAGTAAGGTCTCACTTTAAGGAAAGCCAAGTGCTTCACAGACATTATCTCATTTCACCTTCCTGACAGATACCCCTGTGAGCGTAGGAGGGGAGAATGTTTTGGAATTAGTTAGATAAGAGGTTGGATTCTTAAGCCCTTTTGCTGAAATATGGAAGCATCTAAACTGCCTATATTCTCCACATAAGAATGGAAACGGATTCTATTTTCTGGAGAAAAGAACCCAGAAGCATGTTTGAGAAAAGTAACCCCAGAGATGAGGCCCTTTTCAAAGTTTATGGAAATTATCGATATCAATATTAATAATTACTCCATATTTATACAATATATGCTAAGGAAGATCTAATAAACATACGAATTAACAATGCACTTACAGAGAAGATGAAGTTTTAGAATGAATGCCTAAGGAGATTTCTCTTTCTCTGGGAGTTTTTAGAAAGTGGGACAGACTCCCAACTTGTTGGGGTGGTTACATAGGGAAGTGTCTGGAGTTCAGATGACCTGTCTGATGAGTTTTCAAGACCCTTCCAGACACAATTTCATCACCGGGACGGCTGGTCTTACCTTGAACTTGAAACAATCCAGCGTCTTTCTTAGGAAGATCGTCTGTACTGCTGTTGTCACCTTTATTCCATTGATTGGAAATTTTATAGACATTCTCGCACACTCCAAATGCACAGCACTGGTAAGCATAAGGCATTTCTATAACCCTTTAAAGGAATAAGTCCAAAGAAAAAGTAAACTGTTAAATACGTCTTCATCTGCTTTCACTCAATAACTCTGGTCTTGGGTTTCGGCCTTAATAAATAATCTAAAATATTAACTATGTGCACAAAGATGTTTATCACAGTGATATTTATAATAATAATGGCGTTATTAAAAATTAGTGCTATGAAATGCTACTAATTGCTAATTATTGCTATGAAATGCTACAAATGCTACTAATTATTTTCTCTACTTTTGTGTTTGAAAACTTTCATACTAAAAAGACCAAAAAATGACTGCTAGGAAAATTGTTAGCACCACTAAAAGGTGCTTATGATATGACAAAATGTTAAGTGAGGAAAACATAAAAATTAGCATCTGTTCTATGATTCTAACAATTAAAAATGCATTGGAAACAAAGTCTGGAAGGAAATAACATAAAAAGTTGGTTAGGGGGTATTTTCAGATTTTTTTCCCTCTTCTAATTTCCAAACTCTCTTTTGGTGTTATGGTTTTAAAAGTATGTAAAAAGTGCCCTAGCAGGTTTGGCTCAGGGGTTAGAGCATCGACCTGTGGACTGAAGGGCCCTGGGTTCAGTTCCTCCCAGGGGCACATGCCTCAGTTGCTGGCTCGATCCCCGGGCCTAGTTGGGGGCACATGCGGGAGGCAACCAATCCATGTGTTTCTCTCACGTCGATGTTTCTCTCTCTCTCCCCCTCCCAACTCTCTGAAAAAGTAATGGAAAAAATATCCTCGGGTAAGGATTAAAAAGAATAATAATAAAAAAATAAAAGTATGTAAAAAGTACTTTGATTAAAAAAATACACACATATATATAATCTTTCAAGGGACTTCCTTTTTGATAATAAGCGTAACGGGTTTTAAAGAGCATTACTTCCTCAAGCAAATATTAATTTTGTATGTTTTATTAGAATACATACACAAGCCAGATGAAATAAAAATATAAACAGAGTACAATAATGTTAGAATGTTATTTAATTACATGTCCTAGTTTAGATCCCATGGATCAATGGTTTTCAAACTCCTTCCATGAACTCAGTGATTCCGGGAGGCATCTTTGAGAAAAGGAAATGTGGTCAGGAAGACCCTTTCTCCCACCTCGGGACTTGTCCTAACAGTGCCCCAGGGGCAGGGGACTTGAGGGCATGAAATACAATTTGAAAGAGTCCCATGACCTCATAAATTTTGAAAACCACTATAACATGTCTGTTATTTCACATGACCACAAATGTATCTTATTAGTTTTAATGACAAACTCACTTGAGTTCTGGAAAGTTTTCAGATGATATCAAGCTCTGTAAGGCATGATTTCCTGTTAATTTTAAGTGAGTTAAACCATGTAACCCAGTTACAGGAAAAGACGACAGGCGGTTGGATGATAGGTCCCTGCAAAACATCAAACAACAATTGGCTTTTAGTCCGTGTTAGCATAAAATGTTTATGTTAAAAAAGCAACTTAAAGATTTTTATGCTGTTCCATAAAAACTTCTAGGCAGAGTCCTCGCTTGTAATAGTAAAAGTAACCATTTTGGTTTTAGCTCCTGCTACCTTTTCTTTTTACAATCACAATTGCAGGGGGGAAATGTTTTTATCGCATCCAAATTGGAATTTCTATATTCAAGCTTACTTTTGCTAGAGGAGGGATATCAAGAATGAAGTGGCAGGTGCTGCATCTAATTTGAAAAGCGATGCTGCCTGGATAAGTTAAGGGTGAGGGGGAAAATGTTGGGGGCTGATTCCCCTCCTTTCCCCCTTAACTTCTGTCTGACCGATCCCTTCTTTTTCTGTTAGACAAGGGAGGTAGAGGAAAGAGCAAGAGGCGGAAAGGGAGGGAGAGAAAGGGACAGAAAGCTTTTCTATTAGTCAAGGTGGCCAACTATAAAATGAAAGCCCTTTAGAACTGAATTGACAGTTCTCATTCCGTTCCACCTGATTGCTCAGCAAAAATGGAAAACTTCACCTCAATAATGAGAACCAACTGTCACCCAGATCTTCAGTTATCCACATAATGACCCACGTGGCCTGGGAGGGGGAGGGGGCTCCTCTCTGCTCTTACACGGCTCTGGTGTCGAGGACACCGAGGGCTGGGCAATCTCTACACTGCGGACTTAGACGGCCCCCAATTATTAAGATGCCTGCCATAAACAAGTAATAAAATACTCACAGCTTTCTTAGAGATGGCAAAGTAGAAAATGCATTGGGGTGAATAATGGCAATTTTGTTCCAAGCTAAATTCCTATTTAAAAGAAAAAGTGAGAGGATTACATAAAAAAAATAACCGTGTGAAGTATTAACATATATGTTTATTCTTCTAACAAAAATTAATTTTCATTCAGGGCAGGAACAATTAACTTATTAAAACACCCTTCAGATAAAGATATTAAGACTATCAAATGATTAAAGAGAGAACTTTAAAGCAACGTTGTTAAAATTAATCAAGGAAAATTATTCAGGTGGATATTTTAGTTTTTACTCTCTTCTTGCTAAAATGCTGACTTTAACATGGTTGTAAAATTTTATTAGGGCATTTCTAAGATGAGTGGGTGTAGGAGAGTGGGAAGAGACAGAGGTTCTTCATCTGACAAGCAAGTACATTTTAAGTTATAAAATGTCCCTGGGTATGTAATGAAGTTCAACAAGAATTTGTCTACATTGCCAGTGTATGCCAGGCCTTAATAGAAACAGAGATTCTTTAAAAAAAAATTCCCAGTAAAGGAGACATGGATTTAAATCCTTAACTGGGAAAAGAATAAAAAAGGGGGTTAGCATATCTTGGAAATAAAATCCTTTGATAACAAAGAAAATCTACAATTTATGGAGAAACGAAATTCCCTAACCCCTCCCCTCCACAGACATATATATTTATATAATGAAATGTAGATAATTTCACAGGCATAAGGACTTCCACATTTTAAAAAAGGAGCAATGAAGTGAAAATTTGTATTTTTAAAAATGCCTAACTAAAAAAGGTAATGGAAGTGTAGACATTTGAATAAATTGAAAGTTATCAGAGATCCAAGATCCCAGGGACCAAACTGAAATTACAACTAAATTATAGAACAGTCAGCCTGAGTAACCAACTGAAGATTAGCTGAAGAGAAGTCTTATAACCAAGGATTTACAGAAGAGTCCACATCAAGACTGGAAGGAAGGGCAGAGAAGTGAAAAGGGCTGGCCCTGCTCCCATGGGCAGCGACTGAGAGTCTGCTGGTCTCACCCTGACAACTCCCTGAGGCCCTAGCCCACCACAAGGGTCCACAAGCCCCTGGCAGGTGGCAGCTAGAGTTGGTATACCCTGAAGCTTTTGCTGAGTGGCCCTCACACCCAGCCCTGGTGCTAAGTGTGAACCTTTATCAGCCTGGTGAACATTCACCCCTACCTGGTGACTCACTGAAAACGTACTTCACACAACTCACATACCACCAGGGGCTCTTTCAGTGACTGCGCCTAACAGGTAGAGGTGGACCTCAGAATTCTGAGACCTGCCCCTAGGCTCAGTGCTGGTAGAAGCCAGCCTTGGTGTTCACCTTGGCCCCTCCCATTCACACCCAGGCCCCGCAGAGGCAGCCATAAACTGTGGATCACCTTGTAGCTCCAAACAGACAGCCCAGGGCCCATTACAGGCAGCACCTGACATTGACCTGCACCAGAATCCCTCCCAAGAAGCTCCAGAACCAACACACCTGGTGGAGGGCTTCAGACCACATCAGAGCACAACTCAATTAGCTCCACAAGTGGCACATCCACAGGGAGATCTTGGCAGGCACCAGACCCTGCTGGAATGAATTCCAATTCATGGGGTCAGGCCCCTCACACCAGCTCGTCAGAGTCAATCCTCATAGTCAGCCAGCCTGAGGGTCAACAACCCCACCCACGAATGGGCCAACAGCAATCAAGACTTAACTACAATAGGAGGGCTCACATAAATTACACAAGGGACATTCCTAGAGCACCTAGTGCAGGTGGGCAAGGAGACTGTGCACTGAGCCCCACAAGGCACCTATTACATAAGACCACCACCCCAAGACTGGGAGACATAGCAATTCTACCCAACACACAGAAACAAATACAGAGAGGCAGTCCAAACGGGAAGACAAAGAAACATGCCCCATGTGAAAGAACAGGAGAAATCCCCAGAAAAATAACTAAATGAAATGGAGGCAAGCAAGCTACCAGATACAGAACTCAAAGCAACGGTTATAAGGATGCTCAGGGAACTCAGGGGAAGAACGGATGAGTTCAGTGAGAACTTAAAGAGACAGTAAGCATCAAAAAGGACATAGAGTTCTGGCCAGTGTTGCTCAGTGGTAGAGTGTCCCCAAGGGTCGTGGATTAGATTTCCAGTCAAGGGCACATGCCTGGGTTGCATATTTGTTCCCTGGCCCCGGTCGGGGCACCTGTGGGAGGCAATTGATCGATGTGTCTCTGTCATATCAGTGTTTCTCTCTGTCTCTCCCCCTCCCTCCCTTCCACTCTCTCAAAAAATCAGTGGAAAAAATATCCTCGAGTGAGGATTAACAACAACAACAGAAAAGACAAAGAAACCATAAACCAGAACCAGTCAGAAATGAAGAATACAATGTTTGAAATGAAGAATACACTAGAAGGAATCAACATGAGGTTAGATGAAGCAGAAGATCCAATGAGGAATTTGAAGACAAGGTAGCAGAAAACACCCAATCAGAGCAGCAAAATAGGAAAAATAATTTTAAAAATTGAGGATAGTTTAAGGGACCGCTGGGACAACATCAAGTACAACAACATCCGCATCATAGAGAGAAAGCAAGGGACTGAAACCCATTTGAAGAAATAATGACTGAAAATTTCCCACCGAGACTAGTCTACCCAGAGGCTATAATTTAAAATTGAAGGAGAAATAAGGAGCTTCCCAGAAAAGAAAAAGCTAAAGGAGTTCATTATCACCAAACCAGTATTACAAGAACTTTTAGAAACTCAGAAGAAGAAAGGAAAAAAAGAGAAACATAATTATAAGGAATAAAATGGCAAAAAAAGGTTCCTATCAATAATCACTTTACATGTAAATCAAAGGACTGAATATCAAGAAAATAAGACCCATATATATGCTGTCTAAAGAGACTCATCTTAGAACAAAAGACACAGACTGAAGGTAAAGAGATGGAAAAATGTTTCATGCATTGGAAATGTAAAGAAAAGCTGGGATAGCAATACTTATATAAGACAAAATAAACTTTAAAACAAAGAGACAAAGACGGACATTATTTAGTGATAAAGTGATCAATGCAACATGAGGACACTCTTATACCTTTATGTAAACATTTATACCCTCAACATAGGAGCAGCTAAATATATAAAGCAAAACTTTGTGAACATAAAGGGAGAGAGAGACAGTAACACAGTCATAGTAGGAGATTTTAACACCTCATTGACATCAATGGATAGATCTTCCAGACAGAAAATCAACAAGGAAACAGTGGCCTTAAATGACACACGAGATCAGACAGATTTAATTTACATCTTCAGAGTATTTTGCCCCAAAGCAACAGAATATACATTCTTTTCAAGTCCACATGGAACATTTTCTAGGCTAGACCACATGTTAGGACACAAAATAAGTCTCAACAAATTTAAGATTGAAATCATGTCAAGCATCTTCTCTGACCACAATGGTATGAAACTAGAAATCAATCACAAGAAAAAAACAGAAAAACATACAATATGAAGGCTAAATAACGTTACTGAAAAATGAATGGATTAACAATGAGATCAAAGAAGAAATAAAAAAGTACCTTGAGAAATAAAAACTCAACAACCCAAAGTCTATTGGACATAGTGAAAACAATCTTAAAAGGGAAACTCATAGCATTACAGGCCTACCCTAAGAAGCAAGAAAAATCTCAAATACACAATCTAACCTTACACCTAAAGCAGGGGTGGGAAACGTCTGGCCTGCAAGCCACATACGGCCTGTGAAATTATTTGGTTTGGCCTTGTCAAGGCGACTGCAGGCAGGACTCAAAATTCAATAGATCTAAGAGCTTTTTTCATAGCTAATTTTTAAGTTGATAATTTTGTATGGCTCGTGAATGGTGTTATAAATATCCAAATGGCCCTTGGCAGAAAAAAGGTTCCCCACCCCTGACTTAAAGGAACTAGAAAAAGAAAAACAAACAAAACCCAAAGTGAGTAGAAAGAAGGAAACAATAAAAATCAGAGGAGAAATAAACAAATCAAAGTCTAAAAAAACAAAACAAAGAATCAATGAAACCAAAAGCTGGCTCTTTGAAAAGATAAACAAGATTGACAGACATTTAACCAGACTCATCAAGAAAAAAAGGGGACCCAAATAAATAGAATCAGAAGAAGAGAAGCAACAACTGACACCAAAACATACAAAGGATTATAAGAAAATGTTATGAATAACTATGTGCCAACAAATTGGACAACCTGGAAGAAATGGATAAATTCCTAGAAATATACACTCTTCCAAACTGAATCAAGAAGAAACAGAAAATCTGAACAGACTGATTACAACAAATAAATGGAAGCAGTTAATTAAAAAAAACTCCCAGTAAACAAAAGTCCTGGGGTGGATGGCTTCACAGGTAAATTTCATAAAATATTTAAGTAAGAACTATCACCCATCCTTCTCAAACTATTCCAAAAAATTCAAAGGAGGGAAGATTCACAAGCTCATTTTAGAAGACCAGCATTATCCTAATTCCAAAACCAGATTAAGGCAGTACAAAGAAAGAAAATTATAGGCCAATATCCCTAATGAGCATAGATGCAAAAATCTTCAACAAAATATTAGCAAACTGAATCCAGCAATACATTAAAAAGATCATACACCATGATCAAGTGGAATTTATTCCTGGGATGCAAGGTTGGTACAATATCTGCAAATCAATTAATGTGATACACCACATAAAGAAAATGATGTATAAAAATCACATGATCATATCAACAGATGCAGAAAAACATTGGATAAATTCCAGCACCCATTTATGATAAAAACTCACAGCAAGTGGGAATAAAAGGAACTGACCGCAATATAATAAGGGCCATATATGACAAAAACCACAGCCAACATCATACTCAATGTGGAAAAACGAAAAGAGTTCCCTTTAAGATCAAGAATAAGACAGAGGTGTCTACATTCACCACTCTTATTCAACTAGTACTGAAAGCCCTGGCCACAGCAATCAGACAAGAAGAAACAAAAGGCATCTAAATTGGAAAAGAAGTAAAGCTGTC